AAGTAGTTGATTCAAAATATCTGGAGAAGGTTAGTTAATTCAAAATATTTGGAGAAAAGATTAGTGAAAATTGTCCAAAATTACTTTCACTACTAACTGAAAAATGTATAAGTTTGGATTGCAAGTGACCAAAACAAAAGTTGGTCGTGATTTTTCGAAAATCTCATGAATGGTTCAATAATAGAAATAATTTTTTAAACTAATTTTTGTCACAAAGCCTGTAGTAATCACGTGAGGGTTATATCGTAGTCTACTGATATTCATATTTCACCATCCGTATAAAATGTTCTATGATGGACCTTCTTGACGAAAAAAGTTAACGCACGCTAATGCACCGTAATGAACTGACTTGGTGAGNCAATAATAGAAATAATTTTTGAACTAATTTTTGTCACAGTCTGTAGTAATCACGCAAAGGTGATATCTTAGTTTACTGATATGCATATTTCAATATTTGTGATGGTATTTATGATGGACCTTCTTGACGAAAAAAGTTGACGCACGCTAATGCACCGTAATGAACTGACTTGGTGAGCGATTTGAGTAATGTTTAAGAAGAAACAAGAAAAAGAAACGGAATCTGAGGAAGAGAACGATAAGAGACGAGTGATAAATCCGATGTGCTTCGTAATGAATCCCACTGGAAATACCACCGTTGCAACGATGGAACGCGACATGCTGGTTGGTACCGAAACAATTCAACTCAAGCCTGCTGATCGAGTGAAAACCCGTTATGCCCTGAGAAATTTATGCAAATTCCCGATTTTTGGCACGATTAAGCACTCAATGCAGTTACCGCTTCACTGCTCAAAATTCAGCAGCAGAGTTGATTCAAAATAGCCATTTTTGATCGTTCACCTTTATTTTGTTACTCATGATTCCATTTAGACTTTGAATTATAATAAAATACTTTGAAGGACTTGAGGGAAAATATTTGACGCATATGAAGGGTGTTTTTCATTTACTTAGTAATCTTTCGATTGAATGCTGTTACAAGTGAATGTGATTTCAGAAGGCCTCAAAAGGACGCATTCAGTATGCGATACGTCACGATATGCCTCCAAACTGGCGTAGTCGACTTTCACTAGTGACAACATTCGATGGCACGTTCTACTGGCATACACCGGCACGAGTCGACGTCAAGATATTGAATTTCTACGAAAGTTACACCAAAGATCCGAAATATCGTTCAGTGGTCAGTTAGTCTCTGCATTTTGTTCTCGAATTGCTATCAGATCACGCATCGATACCGTAAACAATGCTTGAAGATATCAATTGTTCATTCAGTGTTCTTATGCACATCTTGAATGTTACTATTCGGGCTGTTGTTGATTTCAAATTCATATATCTCGAAAATGGTATTTGTTCGCGACATTTCAGGTGAAAACGTATTGTTGTGATGGCTCGTTCAGAACGTGTCTAACGACTCGAGGCGTGCGAGTAGTGGAACTGGATTCTGAAATTCCAAACCTGAAAATGTACGTTCCATGAGCACAGCAACTATCTTGTGCTTCTGATTGCTCGTTCAAATTTATAACTTTATAACTACGCTACTCAATTTTACGTTTTCGCATCGCTCTCATTCAAAATGTTCCTTCTTGATCATTCAGCGCTGTGGACGCTAACGAGAGGTGGTCGAATAATTTGTTGAATTTCCGAAATTTAGGTATATATTTCAACCTACGAAAGAAGAATTCACCAGTAAATTCATGAAAAAATTGAAAAGCGAACACGTACAACATTTCATTGATGAACTCCCATTTGAGAGTGAACAACACAAGGTTTTATTTCTTCGCTCTGAATTCACAATAGCATCATTACTGCTGAAAAAATTCAGTGCAAATTTGATAAGCATCATGAGATGAATTCTTTTAGCGATACCGTCAGTTCTTCGAAATCCACCGTTCTTCGAAAAATTTCTAGCTGAAACATCTATCATTCACGTCTTTGAACTTCATTGATTCTGTCCGTTGACACAACTGAGCGATAAAAATGTAAATTTTCAATTTGCGACAGAAATAATTGAGTTGAATCGAAGGCGAAGTTTAACGATACACTGCCGTTGTAAGTAATTGCGCAGAATGCATTTGCAGGTTACAATACCACAATTCGTAATTGTCTCACCATTGAGTCTTCGATCGGTGTTCGATCAACCGTTCAGTTTACTTCGCTGGTTTGCTCCGTTCCCGAAAGCCTATCGAATATTTTCACCTCAAAAGGCGCAATTCTCAAAGATTATCGGTAAACCAGAATATTTGGGTGCCACCTATACGTTCCCGTTGAACGATCACTATCATAAAACTAAATTCTCTGTATGTTCGATTTTTTTACATGTTGTTGGCGTTATCATGAACACTATCAGTGATTTGTGCGTTTGATGAGCTTTCCTTACACGTCAAAAAAGCGGCGATGTATCTATAAGATTACAGTAATAAGTGTTTATTTACATCAAAAATTTATGTTAGAGAGTAAAGTCCAAAAGTCTTCGATTAGACGGGTTCATTTGCTTGTCGGTGTCAATCCTTACACTGAGAATTGACTTATTACCAATTGATTCTTGAAAGTGCTTTAGTGTAGTCCCAGTGAGGGCTGCCATCATGAGACAATTGCAACTGAATGGTATTGTTCTGCAGTTGAGAACTGGAAAGCCTGAAGCACCACCAACGGCTGAAGAAGGTCAAAAAAAACGTAAAAGCGATGATGACAGTTCGTTTTTTATCACTGCTCAATATATCAAAAAATTACATATCTGATTGAATAGTATTCTGAATTCACGATTTTATTCTTCAATAAGAACCATCATTCCAATCAAACTGCTGATATTGTGGTGCGATTCAGTCAAAGTTGAATTGCCGTAGTGCGTCAGTTTTGGATAAAACGTTTCAATACGGATCTCGATGAATTTCTCAACGGACCTACTTTGGTTTCTAAGTTCACGATCGGACTTTTATTCAGAGCAGAGAATAGCGTAATAAAATCAAAACTTGCCGTTCTATTTCGTTACGTGCATCCACAAACTGTCTGATGTGATTTGTTTTCCTATAGCACAAAAAGATGAGCCGACTAAAGCACCGATGCGTATCAACAGAGCGTCTGCAAAAATCGCAATCATCACAAAACCGGGCAGGAATGCTGAGGGCAAAGGACGTATTCTGATAGGAGTGCTCGAAGTTGGTTTACCCTCTATTGCGCCACGATTTATCATTGTTTTCATCAAAATCTCCTGAAAATTTTCATGTTTCATCGAATTTTGGTTACAGTCATGAAAATATCAGTGTTGCAGATAAAAGTATTTGCAAAAGATCATTTCTAGATGCTCTTTGGATAGCTGAAAATATGGTCATTGTTCTCTATGATTGCTTATAATTATTTGCACTAAATTTGAAACTTGAACTAAACGGGCTTTGCTTTAATCGCTTTTTTATGGGTATTGCTGCCTTCAGGAAATTCTCCTGCTTTTTTGGGTGTTTCTCTGATCATGGGCACTGCAGGATGATGGCTATGAGGGCTTGCACGAATATGCAGGGCACAATATCACTGTGACAGAATGTGGTGGTGATCAGACGAAGTATGATGAACGTCGACGAGGATATCGTGCATCCAGTTCTAAGTCGGTCCATCTCAACCACTTAACTAATACTTGAAATTGCATGCAAAATCAATCCTGCTATATCTTATGACATGCTTTTTCATTTAAAAAAAANTTCTCTGATCTGCTTATTTCAGGCGAGCGCGTCATAGAAAGGGTCACAGGACATTATCGGAGCAAGATGGATCTATTGCGCCATCTGAGCGACGCACAGCTGAAGTAGCGGTACTACCCAAAAAAGCGGTATCCCACAAATCGCCACCACCCAAACAGTCACCTGCGGCAGTCTCCATGACCGCACCGAACTCAGTACCATCCAAGAATGTTAGCAACCAACAACAACTAAAACAACAACAGCAGCAGCAGCAGCATTCGGCGTTGTTGTCTCCGGCAGTCACACAACGTGGTTCAAGCAGCGCCTACAAAGAAGTATCTAAAACGCCAATGAATTCATTGCAAGACTCGAAGAGGCCGCCGTCTGAGATTAAATCGTCGACAACTCCCTCAGCAGTCCCACCTCAACAAACACCCCCAAAAGCATCAGCACCTGAAAAGAGTGCATCTGGATCCCCACGATCCCCTTCACACAAATCGCACAAATCACGCCGTTCTCAAAGGTCACATCGTTCCCAAAGGTCACATCGTTCCCAAAGGTCACGTCGTTCCCAAAGGTCACATCGTTCCCAAAGGTCACAGCGTTCCCAAAGGTCACAGCGCTCACAAAGGTCACAGCGTTCGAAAAGATCACGCCGTTCGAGAAGATCACATCGATCGCGAAGAAAATTAGATCGATCACAGCGTTCGCTTCGTATGCTCAAACGTAGTATGAACTCGAATCCGATGGCAGAAGATCGCACACAAATATTCGATCAGAACCTCAAGCAGAAGTCCATTGTTGAGAGTGTACCGCTGGATCGAGCAAGCAGTCTGAATAAGTCACAAATGGAAGACGCAGCTATTGGTAAAACTCAAGTGGAAGCTGATATTCCGGATGCTGATCAAGGAGGCGGAGAGAGTCAGGTGATAAGCTGATAAATATTGACAAAAATTCATGAATCATTCGCACAAAGCCATGTGAAATCCTTTATGGAATGATGTGAGAAGGCGATGAGAATTTTTAGGAAATTCATCAACATTCTACATTCAAAAGTTTGCAAATTTGAGTGGTGGATTCAAAATCTTTAAAAAATTGCCAAAATCAGCGAGATTTTTTGATTGTACAGAGCAAACTTGTTCTATTTTCGTTGCATAAAATTTCTCTCTTAGGCAGCGACCAGCAATCGACCAACCCCGAACGAGCCGACGACACATTCAGACGATCGAAAGCCTGCAGGCTTGGATTTGCCAGTGGATGATTCACAGGTCATCAGATCGCATCATAAGTTCCCTCTGGATTTCATTCATCGCCTGAGGATATAAGTGTTTCATTTCGTACTTACATAATAGGGAAGTTCGAACTGCACCAACGGCGTTACGTTTTCCAACTATGAAGGCAAGGAATACTTGATATTCTATCCAAATCTAAATCTGTTTTATTTTTAAACGTATATTAATGAAATTACCTCATTCCAGGGGGAAAGTGATTCCGCTGGCAATAAACCGAATGGTATTTTTTTTAAATGTTTCTTTTCTTCCCGAATTTCCACCTGAAATTCCAATTCCCAATATGGCAGTTGTACGAAAACTATGTGAGAAATGAATTTTCCAGTGATTCCAAGCATAATCGTGTGTATTCTGGGTAATCATAACGAATTGCAGTCGAGATGCTCAGATATGTTGTTCAAGCAGAACCAGTGCCGTTGGATCGACAAGATCGTTCGATTAGGGCCGAAAACGACGAAAGTGTGGATGTGGAATCACGCTACCATCCGCCAGATATTCATGAAAACGGTAGATCAACTTTTTTTTCTATCTTTATTCCCCTTCTGCCCTGTCATTCGATACAAACTCAGGAATCTATATTCTGTTGTTTACGCCGCATAACTTTGAGGATTTAAATTGAGCTGATTACGTGAAATCTGAATGCTGCAATATCTTCGTCTTCGAGACGGTTTTCTGACTGAAAATTCGTTTCACTCTCAAAAAAAAAGCAATTTTTAAAAGAGTTCCGATTGCAGAGAACGATTACGATATCGCTATCAATACTCCCTTCCTATACATCGTGGTTGCAAATTACCCACAAAGAAATCGTATCTTCATCGTTTGTATGGGTCAATTTGTAAGTTAATACCATCCGAATCGCTTATCCCAGTTATTTTTCATGCAATTTCCTGAGCCTCGTTTGAGTGGAACAGTATTACGTACTGGTCAATTAAATCTCGTCCGCTCCAATCAGCCCCTAGTGTGGGCTCGGACCTATTCTAAGGCTTACGATAGGCTCATAAGTACCTAAAACACAGCAATTTGTACACTCGCACAATCTGTACCACTGATATACTCGCACAAGGTTTATTCCATCTTACCTTCTGTTATCACTCAAACCGTTATCTCACTCAGGGTCGATCAGTTCAACATATAAACTATTCAGATTCANCGTGAAAATTCTTTATTTTAATCGAGCAATAAAGTTTTCGGTTCAGTGAGCTGAATCTGTTGATAAGACGAGCGATTTTATTCAGATTTTCTATCGAAATTCCCTTCGTGCTCTTTCTTCTGATCCAGTTGAGTTTCTGAACTTTGCATAGTGCGATTTTCGATTTCAGACCAATATAACTGAAACGAATGAGGAGGAGAAGGCAAGCAAATGCAAGGATAAGATGAAAGGTACAAAAACTCAGAATGAAAAAAGTGGGAAAGAACGAGTTGAGAGCTCTGAAACAAATACGGACAAAAACTTCAAAAACAAATCGAAGATAGAAATGGCTGAAACGCAGCGAGATGATAATGCATCCAATAAAGACGGCAGTAAGTCGAACAAAGCCGGAAAAGCCGCAGATCCGGTGAACAAGAGTCAAAAGGATGACAAATCCGCAAAGAGTACCAGCAAGAAGGAAAAAAGTCCTCAAGATAAAAGCAAATAAATTTTACTCACTCCATTATTTTGCGCCACTGACACCAGGCGATTAGCTTTCAAGTGAATTCACTGACTGAAGAGATTTCTCCTCATATGTACAACTCACTCCAGATAAGANTCTGAATCATTCGTTTAATAAATTGTAAGCTTTTAAAGCAACTCGTGGCCGAATATTATTCATTTTCACCGCAATGGACAATTGAATTCTATTACTAATGTATGAAATACAACACCATGATTTCTCACTACATTAACAAAGCGATAGTCCGACTGATCGAAGCCGTCAAATTGTAACTATTAATGCTCAAACTAATTCCACGACTTGGTATCTGTTAATCATAACTAATACATCCACATAAAGTTACTACACTCCTTTCATGCAGATTTTTCATATTATCCCCATATAATGTTTTCATTCATTCTTCATTCACATTGAACATCACTGTGCGATGAATACAATTCCCAAATAATCGAAATTTATTTTTTCACAAAAATCATCAGCATACACGCAATCTGCTAAAAGTATAAGACCACTTCGATGAAGATCTAAAAAATAATCTACTAAAAACACGATGGTTAGATAGTGTGCATGAAAATATCAACTGAATCAAGCCAACTTATATATTTATTTCTAACAAATGTACAATATGAAAGCAAAACAATATAAATTCAATGAACTGCACTTGCCCGTAAGCATATAACAATAAACTGGAAAAATGTCACGTAAGATTGCTGCGAGCACCACTAAAACCAGAAACATCCCAAAATTGTGAATCCTTTTCTACAACGGGTTCCAGAAATCAATGACTTCCCAAAGTGGCTCCAAAATATAATCATCGAATGAGCTGCGCTACGGTCCAATGATCTGACGAAGTAGCCAGTCGTTAATGTCGAAAATGACGTTCAGTGATAGAGAAAAGTTAGCACACTTCATTTTCCGGCAACGAAATTTCGAAGTTGCTGATCAAAGAAAAATACCTAATTGTAA